AATTCACATCATCAGAGCTGCAGAGATTTAGCCTCGGGCCCATTTGTACATCTGTCATTGCATCTTTTAGGCAAGAGCAGAGAGAGCTGAGTGGAGATGTGGACTATGAATACCAGTGAAAAAGAGGAATTGGAAGCATTGGGGTAGGAAACAGCAATGATTAGAGATCAACTCGGGTGAACAAGCTTTACAATAGCGTATTATCATACGAGTGTAACACGTCTCTCTTGCCATCTCCTCTGCAACAAAACATTCCAGATGGCTTCTAACACTGGACAAGGAACAACTATGTGTTTTCTGGCACCAGGCCTCCTGTTTGTGTAGTCTGCTCCAATTTGCTTATGAGTTTGTGTGGGTTTATGACAAGAGTGGGACTTCTTTTGTGCTCTTGATTTATAGATTTATTTTGATGGTTTGCATCCTCATCATCCAGCCAGCCCCCTCTGTCTGCATATGGTTCTTGTTGTACAGGGTGAGGTCACAGCTAAGCAAGACCTTTGCATGTTGTACGCTGGGTAACGTCTCCACCCTAATGTGTCTCTACACACTCCATTAAAAAGCATTTATTACTAGATTTCTGTTCATTCCACCCTGTGCTGCTCAGCAACAGTTTTCACTGCAGTCTGGCTTAGGATAATAATAATCACCTTTATTTGGCCAAGTATGTGACACAAAAGGAACTTGTTTCCAGCACAGAATCAAGGCAGCCATCTATGGCGCCAACTCATACCAATGGCTCTAACCATTGGGGGCAACTTGGGGGTTCAGTGTGTCATCCCCAAGGACACTTTGACATGTGGACTGCAGGCACCGAGATTTGGTGCCTCTACCGTTTGGGAAACGACTGCTCTACCCACCGAACCACAGTCATGTCATGTTTTTATGTCCTGTTGCCACAATACATGTGGAATTTTGTGCATCAATTCGTAGAGACATTTTGGTGAGCTCAAGAAGTCCAAACTTTCCACCCAGGTGTCCTCCACATTGACATTTTACACATATTTTGGAGTAAGCATCTGCATATATGTGCATTATCATTATATGTCTTACAGATTCATTTTGTATTCCTTCCTTAGTTTGACATTTTGGGATTTACACTTATTTGCTTTCTGGCAGAGTTAGATATAAAAAATTGATAGCACACATGTCTGTTTAGTAAATATGATGCTCAAGCCTTATTAGCACAACTGTTTAAGTTTAATATATGGTTGTAATTATGGAAGGAGAATAGCACAAACACAGAACATTTCCAAAGTGTAAAGATGTATATCTTGGCAATTACATTTCATTTCATTTCTGGGTCTTTTCCCCTGTGGTTTGGCTCTTTCCTCCTCCTACTCTGTCTCTTCTCCTGCTGTCCAGAAACCATATGAGGGCAGTTACAGTGCAACCTGGATTCTCTAACCAGCGCTTCCTTTCGCCCACTCAGCCCCCATAATTACCCTCTGTCTCCCTTTTTGGGTATTGCGCACCAGTTTGCTTTCACCCCTTTCATGCACATACACGTTCACACCAGCTGCAGCAGTGCTGGTGCCAGCCAGGTGCCAGTCATCTGGCGCTTTGCCCAGAAATTACTGGCGCAAGCCTCAACATGTGTGCAAGTCTAGCTGCAGAAGGCTTGTGTGTGTGTCTGCTCTTGGACGAAGATGCATGCCCCACATGCCAGGAATGAGTAAAGCCACTTGAGAGCGGTTGCATTTGAATGCTCAGCATTACACACACGTCTGTGTGTGTATGTAAGACACAAGCGAATGTCCAATTGCACACGCTTCCGGCACACCAGCTTTTGGCAGCCATTACCAGTAGCACAGCAGTGATTATGAGAAGTGATGAGTATGTGTTTATATATATATTTGCATGTAAACCCTGACCTGTTAGCAGAAGAGCAGAGAGAAGATTGTGTCTCTTCAGTACTTCAGTGGAACATATATACGTTTTTTCACACTCGGTAGAGCCCAGGATGCTGATTTATGGAGCAACCAGGCGGTAAGAAATTGATACCACTTTACTCTTTACTCAGTTTGTGACATATGGAAGAATAAAACCAGTGAGGGACAACAATAAATAATCTTTATTTTATTTCATAACAGTTTGCTCCTCAAGAATGTTCCACAAGCTCTCAGCTCCTGTGTGTGTGTGTACTGGCTGGATTTAATAATGTGAATTGAGGAACTAAAGGTTGCGGGTGCCTTCTCTTATGAGATCAGGGTGATATCAGAACACTTTAAATGTAATAAACGTATCAAGATGTTTTGTACAGAGACTGAGAAAGATGAACACTGAAGTCAGATTCGAAACAGAGGAGCTGGTGGTTCAGTTAATTCAGTCTTGATAAAGCCAGAGGACGCACACGAGGAGGTCTGTGTTTATTGCTGAGGGGGATGTGACTGTGGAGGAATGAAAACAGTAATTATCATTTTTAAGCAGGTCATGTTTTGATGGCGTCATGTTTCATTATGCTGGGAAATTAGCATCACTGAACAGGCCAGCGGGCTGAATGGTCTAATTAAGCAGCAGAGGGACGACTGTATGTGTTCACAGAAGAGTCAGAGTGCATGCATATGTGTGTGTCTGTGTGTGCACACGCGCGCTGATCAGTATTCACTCAGCATTCTTGAGGTTTCTTGAAGACATGAAAGCTTGGAGAGGTGCTTTGTGTTCATTAGCATTAACATTCCACCTGTGTGATTTGTACAGCCTGTGTGAATGGTGAGTCAATGGAACATCATGGCGGGAGGTGTTTATGACCCTAATGTGCTAACTGCCTTATTAGGGGTGATTACTGCATAATGAGCTTGAGATAATCAATGAAATCCATCCCACTTCACTCGTTATTCTGTATGAAATGCACAACTACAGATTCTGTACAAAGCTGTCAAGTCCGATAAAGGAAGTCGGATGGTTGTAATGACACTGCCATTTTTTCATTGTTTTTTAAAATCTGTTGAATGAGTTGCAGAACTAACCTGTGATCTTTAAAGTTGTGCTGTATAACCAAACCAATGTCTCTTTCTGTGTTCACAGCAACAGGGAGCACGTGACCCCAGAGATGAACAAGCTTCGTCAGAGCCTGAGGAGGAAGAAGCCCACTTATGTGCCAGAGGCCAGCAGACCGCATCAGTGGCAGGCGGACGAGGAGGCTGTACGCAAGGGCAAATGTAACTTCCCTGTTCGGGTAAGTATCTATAGTAGATATTGTTCATATGATCACTCCTGTGATCCGAGGCCAGTCCAATAAAAAAAAAAAATCATTTATTTTTAGTTTTAACCAAAGGTTCAGTTAGCCTAAGTCTCAATAACATCACTAGATTTTGTTAATTAAAAGGTGTATGAGTGAACATCCATCTGTGACCCTAACATCAGAATGGAAAAATGTGCTGAGTGTAAGGCCCTAATTAAAAGAATCTTGATCATATCTTAACATAATGTCAGATATTTATGACTATATGGTACAGTGACAAGGGTAACCTTTCCGTTTGCTTCAGGAGTTCAGCTTTGCTTTGTGTACTGTATATTAGCACAAACCTCAACTAAATAAATCAGTGGGCCATACAAAAGGGCAAACGTTTTGTGTGCTGTGGCCCGGACCACAGTACATTCATCATACCTCATGTCAACTCCTGGATAAGGACGCTGCACAATAGGCGCACCAGATTCTCATTTATTCAGCACTTTATCCTTGAACATCACAGAAAAGGAGCAGAGCCATAGTCCTCTGTGATGCTGTTTCCAACTTTAAATGTAGGTCTTTTATACAGTTTAACTAAATAATAACCCCACATAATTATAAGTGACATGCATATGATTTAATAAAAATGTTTTTATTGTATGGTATTTGGACAGATTTGTCTTTTAAATGATAAAGGATAAGAATTGGTTGTATAATGTCAATAGTAATGTGTATTTTTAAAGGAATAGTTTGACATAAAAACATTTTACAGGGTTTCATTGGATGTTATATGCTGGACACATTAACTTCCTGGAGTCGCTGTGAGGTTGCCAGGCAGATTTTTATTGCTAAGCCGTGCTAGCTGGTTTTATTAGCTGGCATTATTAATGGTCTCATTTACTGATAACCAGCTCCAGTTCAAGCATCCACTGCCCGCCTGTCCTTTAGAGCTGGTGTAACAATGACAGTAAGAAATGGAGAACAGGGAGGGAGGAATGGCAGGGAGAGGGGGGTTATAGATTACGGAGACCACAGGCAGTGACAGGGTGAAGGATGATTGCACGCAGGGGGAACAGAGAGACAATGTGAGATATGAAATGAAAGAGAGTGATATAGAACTGGATCAGAAAGGTGAAGACAAAGAAAGACTGCAGACAGAATGCAGAAACCCTGAGAAAGGGAAAAATGTGAACTGTGAGAGAAAACCAGCAAACAGAGGACATGAACTTAAGAAAAGGCAGGACCAGTTTCTGAAGCAGGCAAATGGAAAATGGTCCTGATGGTAGTGCTCCACAGAGTTAGTGATGAGATGGGCAGTGGAGTGGAGCTCAAAAGCTCAAAAAATGGCAACATTACAAACCCTCTCAGTCTCTTTATTGTCTTGTTTCTTCTTCTTTGTTCCCTTTTTCATCTTTTTTCTCACTCCTCTGCCCTCATGTTTTCAGTCCAAGTGTTTTCATGACTAATGGAAAGTTGAAGCCTGTTTAAGAGCTGCTGAACGGTACCAGAGGAAACAAAAACAGTGACTCTACTCAATAGTGAATGAAAAGTTGCGTTTTAGAAAAGCAAACACATTGAGAGACAGTTAGCTTTTGTAGATGGTAAGAAATGATCTGTGTCCATCCCAAACCACCAATGGGGCAACGTGGGTTAAAAGCACCCCTTCGTAGAAATAACATTTCTGTTATTCTGGAAATTCATAAGAAAATCCTGCTATTTATCATCAAAATATACCAAGCACAAAATATATTCAAGATGTCTACCGTGGTACAAAACCTCATATTCAGCAACTATGGTGTAAACGGGCAAAACTTAAATCAGGATGGTGATTAAAATACAGGATACAGGATCAGGAAAGGAGACTCTTGATACTGGTTTTATTACATTACTGCCCCCCTGTGCCAATAATCACAGTAGTTAACTAATAAAACACTGATCACAAAGCCTTATAAACATCTTCAGTATTCAATAAGCAGTCACAAATGCCCAGAAACATCATGATCTGTCTTACTCTACCTAAATCTAGCATTTCTTCCTTGCCAGTTTTTGTGCAAAACCATTTACCACCTAAAAAAAAATAAATAAAAGTCCAGGGCTTTGACCAGATTGCATCATGCTAATAGTTCATCGTTACCAATACACTAACATGAGCATTCCTATGGAAGCTTCATATTCAAGTTAAATGATGCTCGACCCATCATTTGGCCCCACAGTGCGGTATCAGGCTGTGCCATCATAAATCTTCAGGGCCCCACCATTTTCCTACCTTGACCTATCCTAAAATAGGCATCCATCCTGTTGACTAAAACCCACTGGTACGGTTAAATACACTCAGTGGCAACAGCACAGCCCAAGCCCCCTGTTTGCTTGCAATGACTCCATGTTATCTCTGTTCAGCCACACTGGTCGTCATGGTGACATGGATACCAGAAGACATACCGCAATGCCAAGTTGCTTTCTACCCTCTGCTCATTGTCCTGCTAATATTATATCAACCAGAAGAAAAATATACAAATAGCAAGCCCTCTGAATACGTTATCTGTATTATGAGCAACCCCAATTTAAATTCCGTGTGGGTGCAGCCATGTCAGTCATCAGCTAATCATACACTCTGACCTGAAAGCATGGCATCCTTCTTTGGTTATCGACCATTTTGCACCAGTTACTTTGTGATTTGGGCCATTAGTCATGAATTCTCCTTTGTTTTCTTCTCCATGCATGTGTGTGCATCTAACGCCGGCATTGCTTTTTGTGCCCTGCAAGTTCAGTGCAAGCAATTTCATTTTTCTCATTTACATAACAGCTACACTTGACATGGTTATTAATCCAGGGTTAAATCTCGCCTTCATCTCTGAACGCTTGTCTTCCTGTTTCCTCATCACTTGGCTTCTGACTCCAGCAGAGCTGCAGGAGCTTTAATTGTGTCCCTGTGGGCTCTCTGTACACCACGGAACAGAACACTGGAGGGACAACAATAGGGGATGTGAAGCTATAAACTACTCCATGCTCTACTCTTTTTCTCTTGTCCTATCAGCAGCAATGTGCCCCTGTAAATCCAGTATGGGTGCTTATTGCCAGTCAGTTTTGTAGCACTTCTAAAAATACTGATGAGACTTTGGCTGCTTTTATGTCACTTTGTTGCTTTCTTCTGTTTTGACATAGTTTTAAGTTCAGCTTTGTCTGTTTTATTCACTTGAAAATTAGATGAACAATATTGCTAAACCATGAAATGATGAAATAAAAAAAAAACTAACTTGGATAACAATCAACATGTTTGCCCTCCTTTCTCTGCAGTACCTGGGGTTGGTCGAGGTGGAGGAGTCCAGGGGGATGCATGTATGCGAGGAGGCAGTGAAGAAGCTGAAAGTTGTAAGTATCCCCCACACACTCACACATCTCCTGTCCTTGCAGTACTGAAGGCTCATTTTGATATGTAGAGGCAGTTACCAAAACTCACCCCAAGGATCCACAAACTTCACTGTAGGTCATTACAGACGCAGTTGTGCAAAGCTCATGCGCTGAAGTATTGACCAAAGGAATATACACACACACACACATTCAATACTCACTGCAGTTACCTCTCCCATCTTGTTACGTTCTCTTCATTACCCCTTTCATCTCACACACTAGATTCCCTGGTGGGTTTTAGTCCATATCTGCATCTGTGCTCTTTATTCTCTTCTTCTGTATGAGCCTAGTACTCCAAAATGAACAGAAAACGAGATGTGGGAGAACATAAACACACATTTAATCACACTGTATTCAGGCACGTGTGAATGGCACAGGCTGGTCAGTGCCAGACAGCCACGCACACTCGGCAGGAGTGTGTCACTTTTTTCACAGCCCCTGCATTTATTGATGTAACTGGAATGAAACAGAGCAGCAGATTTTCTGTTTTCAATGTAAAATCATTCTAAACCTGACTCCACAATAAGAATCTCAGAGAGAAAAGCTGTTAAAACTGGATCATTTGTTTTTCCCTTTTGAGTTTCCCTTTTGGACCACCTTTGTTTTTTTTACATCTTCCATCTTTATCAGCATCTTCCTTCAGCAGCACCCTCCTCTTTGTCCAGTTGCTCGCACTGAAAACGTCCTTCTCCTCTCCACCTCCTAATTTATTTTTCCTCTTCTTCTCCACTATTATCTCTATCAGTCTCCAGCTTCTTCACCTCTGTTCCCACTCCCTCTCTCTTCTTGTCAATGGGATTATGCAAAAACGAAGGCTCCTCATTGCTTTGCTGTTTGATCCTGCGACACACACATACACACACACACACTCATATGCAGACTCATTTACACAGGCACACACTTTTGCACTCACATGGAGTTGTTGCTTTTTTAGCCCACATATATTTAGCTTGGCACCTGCCGAGTGTGTTATTAGCTCTGCTTGGTGCCCGCCTCTGGAGAAATGATTTTCAGTGCCAGCTGCCACAGTGTGCACTGTACCTCTGCCTGCCACTCCGCTCTTAACCTACCACTACCTCATCTACTGTGGAGACGTAATGATCACTTTACATAATAGCAAAAGTGTTTTTTTTTGTGTTAACAGATTGTTGATTTCACCTCTGCAAGAACAGGAAGATCTGGTGAAATGGGCAAATAATTGAAGTACATTTGCTTTGCAAGTTGGTCACATGCTTCTTTAGCAAAATTTTTTTGCTTACTCTATGTTTCATGTTTTCAGAGTGGGAAAAAGACAGTGAAGGCAGTATTGTGGGTTTCAGCTGATGGACTCAGGGTGGTGGATGACAAAACTAAGGTATGTGTATGTGTCACCTCTGTCTCCCTGTTTTGTCCTGTCTGCTTTCTCTCTCTGTCTACCTCATCGCTCACTTGGCAACAAGTACAAGGAGGACATGTTTGTGTCTTATAATCATGAAATATAAAAATTAAAAACAGTGAGTTTGCTAGTCAAAGGAAAACAAAATGCCTCCTCAGGCCCTGTGATGCTCTGGTCCTGTTACCTCTCTAACACACTTCCATCTTTGTAGCATCTTTTTTCATTTATATTTCATGTTCAGTTAAAACACACAAACATTTTCCCTCCACTGACCCACAACACGAGTCCCAGTTTGTTGACGCCACCTTAAGGCTGACAGCAGAAGGACCCACCACGCATCCATTGCCATGATGCTCCCAGGCTCGTTTGGGTCTGAGTCTGTGTAAATGTGTGCAGTTTCAGAGTTGACATATGTGACTCATGGTTGCTTACTGAAGGTGCTTAGTGGGGGAGGGAAGACTGAATAAACACAGGCACACACACACACACACATGCACTTGAGGAGTATTGTCTGGCAGCTAGGTTGGCCCCCTGCAGCGCGAGTACATTGAGCTGCGGCTCTATTGAAAGCAGAGCAGACTAAAGAGCAGCAGAGAATAGAAGAGAGGGAGCGAGCCCAATGGACCTGCCTCTTAGCAGCCACACACATGACCACTCTACTTTCTATTTTTGATATATCTCATTTAAACATATTAATGGATTAATGGATGGAGTAATATTCAGGATTTTTCTTACCGACAACAAACTGCCATGAAAAGATCAAAACAAACAGTAAATTAATCCTACTAAGAAGTTTGTGTAGCCATTTGTTGCCTAAAAATGATTAAAAACACATCAAACACTGTTGCACTGGATGACATGTTCGTTTCTAACAAGGAACACACACTGTAGTTTGACATAAACACACATACACTGGGCTGCTGCAAGAAACACTCACTACACCGCCGAATATTTATTAATTGACAATGAATACATATTAATAAATAGCTAAAGATGATCTCAAACAGATCACTATCTACCCTTATTTGAGTAATAATAGTTTACAATTACAGTGTTCAGCTAATTTAGTAAATTTTGTAAGAATGAAACTACACTATTCCCTTAGTATTTTATATTTGTGCTTTGTTTTTAAAGAATTATGACCTCAGGATCTACAGACAGAGTACAGTAGGACTGAGAAACATTTGTTTGGGAATTTATTGATGGTACAGCAATATGTAATAACAAAAGTTTTATTCTTTAAGGTAAATTATATTCACCTATAGCATTAATAGACAAGAATAAACAAAGTTTTGGTGTATTAGCACTTTTCTGTTTAGCTTTACTCTCACTGTTCTTGTGAGCATCATTTCCAGATGCATTTCACACAGTCTGTGAATGTACAGTATATCTATGTGGGCTATTGTGTCCACATGCATTAGAGATGCAGCTCTGCGTGACTTCCATGATGCATCAGAGGGAAGAAAGCGTAAAGTCTTTTTTCTGTTCAGCGGTTCTTTTGTGCTCGGGGCAGAGATGAGACACCCTGTGCAACATGATGGTGTCGTCCTCCTTTCAGTGATGTAGGGGCATGATCTGAGTCACCTTTACACACACACACATAAACTCTGCTCAGCCTTTCACCTTGGTACCAGCATCCGCTTCATTCACTAACTGGCCCACAATGAATGGACTGTTACCCTTCCACCTCCTTCTCCCCACATCCCTTCTTCCTTTCTTCTCTTTCCCGTCCTTTCCCTCCCTCCTCATCCTTCCCTCACTTTGTTTTCACCAACACTGTAGGAAATGAACAAAGTGCTTGGAGGAGTGCGTGAACCCTCTTTCTGCCCTCTCTTCTTCAGTTTGGCTCTTGTTTTCTTGCTCTTTCTGTTTTTGGTGAGTCAAAGAGGTGAGCCAAGGGCCCCTTATTGTACACAAAGAAAGAGAAGGGCCCCTCTGAGTTTCCTCTGTAATGACTATAGACACTGAGACAGGCTGAATAACCCTTTTGTAGAAGGAAGGACAAGCGGTGGAAACATCCCAGAGATTAAATGAGGCTTGAGTGTCATTACACTGGTGGATGTGTAAATAGGTTGCAATGAGAAGGGGTTCACAGGGTTAACTGAAGTTGAATGCAGTGTGTCATGTACTGGATCAGTCTACAAGCTGGTGCGCTCAGAACCGAAGCTCTATTTTCTGTCTGTCATTGGTTAAAGCTGCTGTTACAGAGGCTATGTGAAGAATGTTAAATGTGATTTGATGTAACCTACAATACCTGTAGATGTACTGTGTGAGCTGTTAAACAGGATTCTCTCTCACCTCTCTGTCCCTTTTCTTCTGTTCCTTTCTCAGGACCTCATCGTAGACCAGACCATAGAGAAGGTTTCATTTTGTGCTCCTGATCGTAACTATGACAAGGCCTTCTCCTACATCTGCCGAGATGGGACCACTAGACGATGGATGTGTCACTGCTTCATGGCTCTCAAAGACTCAGTGAGTAGAAAATGATCCTTCCATTTTCTTTTTATTGAAAGTTGAAGTCATGATGTCATGGGACAGCCTTTCTTTGCACTAGCTTCTGTAACACATCTCTCATTTAACATTTTGTTCATTGGTCTTTTTGAAAAATCGAAATTTGCTCCTGAGATTTACTGTCCACATCCTACGAGCAATTTGGCACAGTCTTTGTTAATAGAGCTTCAAACCGTGCAAAGAAGTGTCGGTTTTGCATCCGTCACTTTCTCAATTACAATTGTTCTGAAATTTTACTGTCGTTCAAAGTACCATATGATAATTTCACTCTCTTGTATTAACACTTTTTAAAGCTAAAAAGTTTTGTCATGGAAAGTCTCGATAGTCACATGAATCTCTCCGGTTAATGCTCATATGACTAGTAGATTGCTCATTTAGCATTGTACTCATCAACAAAAAAGTAATGAACAATAATCAGTTCATTTCTTAAGTAATTTATTATGTGAAAATATGAAATTTTAGCCTGTTTGAGTGTCTAAAATGTGAGCATGTGTGGGAATATTCAGTTTTATATCAATATAAATATATTATGTTAGCTCTCATTAATGTAATTGCCCTTTTGTAATTAATAGGACCAATTTTAAATAGAATAATCAAAGACCAGGCCACTATTTCATCTGGACTGACCTTGAGATGAAGGGGTAGAAATTTACCAAGCAGTGCTGTCATGGTGCACTGTGGCATCAACACCATGCTGGTTTAATCAGTTTAACCTATGCGTTGGATTATTCGTGTGGACGGAAGTGAGCGCAGCACAGACCTGCAGGATTAGGAAAGGGGATTAGATGGAAGCCTGTGGAGTTATCTGTCTAACGCTGTCTGTCTCTAGTGGCTGCTGGCTGTCTTTGTAGAGTTAAGTCAGACAGGCAGGCAGGGGGTTAGGGAGGTGGTGAGAAAGTAAGAATTAATTGTGGGATGAACTCATTGATGTTTGACAGCAGGAGAGGTTTGATGTTAATGATAACCCTTGTTTCCAACCTCACAAAAAGAATCAATTTGTTGCATTAAAACATTCTTGTAGAAGATAAACAGTAAATGCAGCTTTCACTGAAGACAGCTGAAGGGTGCTCACCCTAATTCTCAGTAATCCAACAATTTTCAGTACGGGTTATGTGTCGGTGCGGCTAATCTGAGTTTTTTAATTGCTGTGTTTTGCTCCACCAGGGAGAGAGACTGAGCCATGCAGTTGGCTGTGCCTTTGCTGCCTGTCTGGAGAGGAAGCAGCGCAGGGAGAAGGAGTGCGGCGTGACGGCATCCTTTGATGCCAGTCGCACCTCATTTGTTCGTGAGGGCTCCTTCCGGGCAAACTCTTCCTGCAGCCAGCAGGGCGGCAGCATCGAAAGGGATGACAAACTGCAGGACAAGAAGAAAGGTAAGAGGATACTAGTGTGTGCACAGAGTTAAATGTCATTTTCATAAAATTGGAAACGTGACTTAATTATAAAAATGTCAAGAACTTGCCAAGCAAACTCAGTGCATGAACACACTTCCTCCTCCAGACCAACCTTCTGCCATTCCAACCCTCTCACCTGGCACTGCTTCCCCACCCGAGGGCGCAGCCTCCCCCATGGAGCGTCCAGAACCAGGTGGGCCTCACGCCATCCCTCGCCGCCACGCGCCCATTGAGCAGCTGGTGCGTCAAGGCTCATTCCGGGGATTCCCAGCCCTTAGCCAGAAGAACTCTCCATTCAAGAGGCAGCTGTCGCTCCGCCTCAACGACTTGCCATCCACGTTGCAACGCAAGACTGACTTCCAGGACAAGAACCCTGGTGAGTTGAGAAGTTAGAGTCACAAATGTGATAAAGGGACCTTCTGAACCTACAGTAGTAACATTTGTTTATCAGGGTAAGCGGGTCCCAAACGTTTGATGCTTTGACCTCTTTGGAGAAAAACTCATTTGTTAATTAGGATCAGTTGGTTGTCATGTAAAACTTCTGTGGTTACAGGCTGTACTTAAATTATTAGTAGTAGAGCAGGGGTGTTCCTTGAATTGCATTCTAAGTTTATTTTAAGTGAACAAGCAATTGAAGCTATCTTTGTGCAGACACAGATTAATTACTTATGCTGTAGTGGCAGGATTCGTGTTTCATAGACAGTTTACCAGAATGCATCTAATCTTCCCACATCACATTAAAACAATTTCTCTGGTCAGATACAAATTTACTAGATATAATCAGAATCATATCAGTAATAGATGATATGAACTTGCAGATGCATCACCTAACTATATTATCTTATTTCGAGAGGTGACTGTCAAAAGGTCTTCTCACTGAAATCAGATTGGATCTCTTCCTTGCAAATGGAAAATGATTTTTCACAAATTCGAATCCCCAAATCATTTGTAGTATTTCCAAGAAGTTGAGTAACAGTTTGCACACACAAACAAAAACCACACATGAGGACTATGGCTTGTGTCATGGTTGTTTGCAGAGTATTATTACATTTCTCATTTGGCTTCAGTGTCTGACCTTTGTCTGAGCAATCATATTACAGAATAAACCTTCAGTGCATATATATGCCTGTTCTCATGCAGACAAGGTGTAATTCCTCAGTTTAATACTGACGCTTGCCTTCCATTGAATGTGAGCCAAGATAAAAAGCAGTTATCTGAAGTGCTGTTATTATTGTTATTAGCACCAGTGCCAGTGGCTGGGCCTGTGCAACCCTTAGAGCTCTTAGCTTTTTACTGAGGACAATTGATAATAACCGACTTTCCCCTCACAGGTTGATGTGTACACATACACGGGAGCCCACACATAGTGTAGACACACCCACTCGATGTGGTGCCACAGGATCAGAGCACTCAGTAGTGAGGCTGATTACAGTCTTTAGGAGAGATGAGAGAGTTGGATGGGGAACCTTCTGACTGGAATATTAAACTCCAGCATCCACCTCCGACTCTCACTCCATCCTGATTTCCTGTACTCTTTCCTTTCATTTCAAACTCTTATTGTTTAGTGTACTGTATATGTCCTCTGGTGGTGGATTTGATGCAGTTTGAATCCTATGTGCACAGTGCTCTCTCTCACATACAGATGCACACACTCAGCAGTAGCAGCCAATTCCACTGCCTCCTTGCTTCCTCGTGACTCTCTGAACAATGTATGTATTGATTTGTGCAGTCAGTCAGCTGTACTGCTCAGCCTTCGGCAAGCCTTCTACCAGCCCTTAAACCTGCCAGTGCACTGGGAGAAGCATACCCATACACACTAGCATATAGATGCACATGTGAAGGGCTTCGAGTGCTTCTTCAGAGTCTGTCTTTTCAGAACAAAGCAGTGAGCCATCTTTAATGGGAGACCTTACACATGCCTGCTGTGCCCTCTCCACCCTTCAATATATTTCAAGGCCTTTAGCTATACAATACACACAAATGAGAGGGATATACATATATTAGAAGAGTGGGTTTGAATAGCACAGCAGTAGGGTTTGGGATTTGAACCACAGTGGGCCCATCTGAGAAGAAGGATGCGGGATTAGAGAAAAGAAGGAGCCAGAAAAAGAAGAAACAAAAATCTCCTAGGTTGGGGTTGTGAAGGGAGGGAGCAGGGGAAAAGGAACACAGAATTAGGTGGTATATCTATTTATATCTGCAGTCTGTGCAGGGAGATTTAAAGCTACAGTATAGTCCCAACCAAAGCCCGACTGGAATGTTGCACTGCCTATTCCCTCTATGGTCGGATCAGTTACAATTTAAAAACATGGAAATTCACATCTGTCTGTGTCATCCCAATGCTCAAAACACACAAGGCAATGACATAACTGGTTAAAATGTGCATAGAGTATGATACTACATGGAGAAGGGTAGTTCATGGGCCTTCACACAGTTCTGTTTGACCTGTAAACATCCTTGTGATTAAGTATGAACCTGTCCATGTACCAGGTCTGTCTTGAGAATCTTTTATTTTTGAGGTTTTAAGGTCAGTAGCGGCCAGCATCAAAGTATTCATCCTCTCTAATTTGTATGCTTTTTGATGCCAACTGGGTCTGTTACACAAATTAATATTTCTCTATCTCTCTCTCTCTCACTATTTGTTTGTCCTCCTACTCCTACTCGTTCTCCTCTCCCGTTCCATCTCTTCTTTTCATTCATTTCCTTTTCTCCACTGTTTTTTACTCTTTACCTCTCCTCCCTCTGTGCTTCCCTTTCTTGCCGGTACCAGATATGGATATAGGGTTGCCAGATGAGGGAGACAGTAGTATTAATGCACTGTGTAGCCAGATCAACACCTCCTTTACCAAACCGTCAGATGAGTTCTTCTCCAACCCTTCAATGTCTGCAAATGGCCCTCCAACCTGCACTGTGCCCACTGTCCTGCCTCCACCACCTACACCAATGCAGGGTAAGAAAGACTGCATCAGACTAATAATAATATTGAATTTTTTCAAATCAGTGGTGAAGGAATTATTGCACTTTCTAAATGTTTTACTTCATTGTCACTCTAGCCACTTCTTCCTGGGTGCAGCCAGAAGCTCCACTCCACTCTCCTCCCCCAGTTTCTGTGGCGCTGCAGATGCAGAGTGGACACAAGCGCACACCCTCTGAGGCCGAGAGGTGGCTGGAGGAGGTCTCCAAGGCTGTCAAGGCCCAACAGTCCCCTCCCCCAGGTCCCACCATCCCCACCATCCCTGGACCACCCTCCATGTCGGGTCATCAGATGTGCAGTCAGGCAGCCATATCAGCTGCCCAGGTGTCCACTGTCTCCATGTCTCTTGGCACCATGGCCAAACCCCTCATCTCGGGACCTTCTGCTCTCTCAGGTCAGGCTCCAATGCCCCTTCCACCCATGCCAATGTCATCAGTTCCTCTAATACCAGGCCCTCCAGTGTCAGGCCCCCCGATGTCTCTACCTTCCATGTCTATCCCAACGATGTCCGGTCCAAGCATGTCTGGGGCCCCCATGATTCATCCATCTCTTCCTGGGCCCCCAGGCTCCCTTCCAAGCTCCGTGCAGCCCTTCCCCTTGGCCTTCGATACCACTCCAGCCCCTGCTGGAATGTTTGCCAGCCAGCCTGTCCAACCTGCTTTTGTGCCCATGCAGACCTATATGCCAGGTTTGGCCAGCAGTATGACATACCCCAATGCCAGCGTGCCTGTGGTGGGCATCACACCATCACAAATGGTGGCCAATGTCTTCTGCACTGCCACAGGCTCGTCAGGCACAGGCAGTGCTATGGGATCAGCTGGAGGAGGATCCAAAGTGGGTGCACTTGGAGCAGTTGGGCAGCACCAAAGTTATCCAGGAGCATCTGGTGCAGCTGGGCACACTGGAGGGTTTTCTACACCGCCATTCTCTTCCACTCCACCATTATCAACAGCCATTAATGGTCTCCCAGGGCACAGCAGCGCCACAATGGCCCTCCCAAATGGGACCTCCAACAGTGGCGGGAATGGGGGCAGCAGTAGCAACTGGCCACCAGAGGGTAGTCAGCTGGCAGCTCCAGTGGCCAGCACTTCCCAAGATGATGATCGTTTTGAGGCCAAGTGGGCGGCACTGGAGTCCAAGCCAGTGCCTCAGCAGCCTGGGAATAAGGTACCAGCTGCATCAGCCAACCCATTCTCCAGCAATTTGCAAAAGACTTTTGAGATTGAGCTGTAAGCCAGACTCATCCTCCCAAAGCTGTAGCGCTAGCTCTGGAGTTAAAGCCTGGGGAAGCCAGGTTCTAATTCCAGCATTGCTGGTAAAAATAGGATGCAGGTCCTTAAAATTAGCATCCAACCTGTGGCAGCCTAGAAACTTGCTCAAAACTCTCATAGGGGTCAATAGTGTAATGACCTACATTGCTTTCTTTGCAGTCCAATGAGAGGCTGGGAGGAAGCTGGCAGATTGCTGGGCTACCATCGGAGGATCAGGTTCAGAGTGCGCTAGATTTGATGGACTGAATCTATACACTTCACCCGCTATTGCCTCTATTCCTCGCTTTCACTTCTCCATTCTGATTTTAGATCACCTGCTGCAAGTCCCTGGATGTACTCTTTGTGCCCCTTTGTGAACACTGGGGGGAGACAGTTTTGTGGTTTCTTTCTTTAAAAGGGGAGTCCACTCAGAGGCATTCCAATCCTATGAGATCTTTACAGCGGTTTTATTTCTAGTGGAGAATCAATTTGTTGACTGATGACCAGATCGATGCTGAATTTTACCAAGCACAGCAGAAGTATGTATACCTGAAAGGACTAGGCACTGATGTAAGACCCCATCCTACCAACCCAAAAGGGCTTACTGACCAATAGTAGAGATTTATGGCCAAAATTATTTTATTTATTGTATTTTATTTTTTATTTTAACAATGTACTGTATATCTATACTTAAAAATCAAAAATTTAAAGCAGTATTTCATAAGTTTGTTATTTTTTATTCCTTATATTTATTGTTTTGAACCATAAACAGGAGACAAACAGCAGGTAGCAGACTGGTAACAAGTGTGATTGGGCAGCAGTAGTAGATGTATAAAGCACAGTGGGAAATGCAGTCGTGCAACCGGTACCAAATAGCTAGGGCTGACAGTACAGCTGCGTGTAATGCGACATGTGAAACGCTACGTGTATATAGCAGCATGTCTCTTACATTAGCCCTCACATATATATGCTCCAGTGCTGCTGAGGCCAGTTGAGTTAATATGGCTTCACCTTGGCTCTGTTGCCCTCTTCTGTTGCTGCCGTCATGGGCATGGGACATGAGAAACTACTTCAGGATACCCAGCAAACAGACATTGTGGACAGTATAGTCCTTTGGTCTCCATTTTCTCCAGATAGACCCAAGGAACTTGAAGCACTCAGTGGAAATAAAAACACTATATACACTACAACACTGTGCAACTGGTTGGAATTATGATGCACTACATTAATAAATCTTTTAATGTGTTCAAACACAGGGTATAGTTTCATCGTATACAGTACGATTGTGCATTCACCTCTATCTTTTATAGTAGTACTGCACTAGTTCCAGATGTTTGCATTGATGGTTTGGGCTGAAAGGAGGAGGAGGAGATGGAAAATAAAATATTTGAGAGAAATAAAGAATTTATTTCTGAAGTATAAAAGGACATTTGCTTGATAGATCAATAGAGAAAAGTAGGAAGGAGCACCTGTACGTGAGATACTGGAGGAGAGAATTGAGTTATACCTTTAAAAAGTGAGATGAAGGAAGTCTGATGGGAGAAAAGTTAGATGTAGTGTAATGAAAGGGAGATTAAAGTGAGAGACAGATTGTGTGAAAATATAGAAAGCAAAGGCATAATCATCCCACAGCCCACAAACAAATCACTTACCTCGGTTCTTAAAACCTCACAAACAACACTTTTGTTCATATTTTTAAAAAAATGCTGCTTATTGTATAATTGCAGTCTCATAAGCAAGATTTTGCAACTCTCTATATAGTTACAACTCCAGTACCACTTACTGCATTTTAACTTGACGTTTCTGGCAGGAGCCATTAAAGTTTGGGTCTATTTAAAAATGGATAATAAAGCAGAAATGTTCTCTCCACAGGCTCCTTCTGTATGTTACTTCAACTGTCATATGACCAGAGATCCTCCTCCTGATATGCTCCTTGGAAACTGAACTGTATGGATGTGGGCTGCCACTGATTAGGTTTCCTGCCCTTTCACTCCTCACAGTTTAATTAACTTACCAGATTTCTTCCTGTGGCAGCAGTTCCCTCTGATAGACTGCTATTTCAGAGAACCTACATTTTTTTGTGCCACCAGCCTTAATTATACTTTCTTGGTTCCTCCCAGTGATTTGTCTTTTTTTTTCCAGTGAATCAAAATCTCTTCCCCACCAAACAAAACCAAACAGCTCTTTCTACAAGACACGACGGATTCATTAAATTGATGCTTTTATTTAACTAAAAATATATTTTAGCCCTCGACTCTTGTTTGCACGCCCTCCAAAATATATATGTAGGTTAATTGTGTTCTGCATTGAAGCAAACTAAATGACCTCATCAACTTGATTGTAAAACCATAGTTTAGTGATGGTAACAAAGCAAGCCAGTGGAGTTTATTTTTAATCTTTATTTACAGAATTTTTGTATTTAAACCTACATATTTGTATTGTAATTACATTGTACAAAAGATAAATAAAGTAATATAATATTACACATGTTTCTGTCCTTTTTCCCCTTCTTCTGCTGCCTATATTCACTTTATGAGCTTTTCTTTGTTTCTGTCTCTCTCTTTTCTTTTGCCTTCCTCCTTTCTGCTTTCTGTTATTTGTTCTTAACCATTTGACTCTTCTTACTTTGAATGTCTCTATTCTTCCAACTAATGGTTCCATGATGTTTTCTGCAAAATATAAAGGACTGCAAAAACTTAAAAAAATATTAAGGTGCATGTCTGACAATGGGGGCTCAGGTTAAACATCTTCCACAGCTAAATGGTTCTAAAAGACTGGAATATTTTAGAAGATTTGCTCATTTTCTTCCTGAGAGTTAGATGAGAAGATTGATGCCAAAACATCAGCCTAACTGCACCTCTAAAAACTGCTCATTTACCTGTTATATCTTTGTTTAATCTAAGCTCTAAAGTATTGTATCAGGTTATATGTGAGGTTGACTGAGCCAAGTTACCTCTGCCCTTGTTTCCCTTGACTCCTGGTCCTGCTTATTAAGATTCAAGGTTCAAGATTTTTATTTGCCATTTATGCAAAACAAACAAACAAACAAAAAAAAAACAGGCAGTCTAGGCATATAGGAATTCTGGTGCAGGGCTCTCTTGGAGTCAAGTAAAGCGTTAAAAGTCAGACAAGGAACACCTAGTCTAAAAATAAAGTTACGTAAGAATAACATAGTATAAAAAAACATGAATGCAAAAATAAGATAATAGATAAGATGGTGGATTTCAAATATTGCACATAGTATTAAACAGACAGATATTAGCATGGTATTGCTCTTCTCGTCTGACCTTAGCAAAAAAACTAAAAAAGTGTATTTTCTCAGAATTTCTTAGACTTGTTCTTGTGCTGTGGTATTTGCTACAGTATATCCTGGCCATATGACATGTTTATATTCAAAGAAAAAAATAATAATAAAATCAAAGAAATGGCTGTGAGGAAAGACAAACAGCCACCTTATTTGTGTCTTTTGTGCCTGTACCTTCTCTGTCTCAGTGGTCTCCTCTGCCTCCCTGTTCCTTTATGTAGTGCTGTCTAACCAGTGCCGTTCTCCTGTCAGCTAGTGTGAACAGTGCTGCTGCTATAGCTCAGGTCACTAATGGAACAAGACAAGGCCTCTTTTCTTCTTAAGGGCCATGAGAAACGGGCAAATGCACACACACACACACACACACTTAGCTCTTGAGCTGTGTAGCGATAATTCTCACCCAATCATTGTCTTCTGAGTTGAGGACAAAGTCTGAGTATGTGTTGCTGAGAAGTCAAAGAGGGAATCAGTAGAGTCTCGTAGAATCAGTAGAGCTCTGTAAGTGCCATAAAACTGTACAGACAGTTGTTTTCTAGTGATGGTTGGTGCGTCATTGGTTCAACATCATGCTGCTTATATTAAAGTTAAATCCATTTCAGTGTTAATGAAACCAAATTAGACGATATGTTGTGTAGCCTCCGTGACCAGTGCATTAGGAACCATTTTATAAATCTTCCGTCATGCTGACACAGTTTCTTTGATGTTTGACTTAAGCGTTGACAAAAGGATGCTAATTTATTTGCTCTTGATGGGTGAGTTTTGTGTTAAACACATCCTGCTGATTTTTTTAGTGCTGCTCAGTATAAAATAATAGTATTTGCTCCTAATATTTTATGAACAGTGTTTCAGTAAATGTGTTTAGCTATATTACATGTTCAAAAATGAACTCTTCTCCGCAGTTTATTGTACTTTGAATGTGATATGGTCCAACATCTAAGTTTTAGATGAACCATCTAAACACATAATTAACTCTTAGCAAATTTGAGTTTTATTTTGAGTTGACACAAAAACATGACATCTTACTGTTGAATTCAGCCCTGTACATCCACAGTGTCTCCACCTACGTGCGTACTATGCGTCATACTGTATAGTAAAGTTGATTACACCTACATAGAAGATGGAGATGCCTGGTTGCCATGGCTACACAGTAAAAGATTAATTTATAACCTCTGAAAAATGCCGCAGTATGCACAATCTGCCTCCTATACATATAAATTACAGAGCCAGGGGAAAAAAAGATAGTAGCTAAAAATACAATATCTTCCTAATAGAATGTCAAGGCAGATATGATGAAAGGGTGTTTGTGTGTATCTGTGTGTGTGTGTGTGTGTCTGTTACAGGGCATTCCCTGTTCTTTATTTGTCTTTAAAATGCCTATTTTTGCAAATAGAATAGCCAGATCTTAAATTTGAAGTATGTGTTTTGATCCTTCAGAACAAACTATTTCAGTCATACAAGATTGTGTGTGTGATTTCTGTGCAGTGTGACACATCACAACTAATACTAGAAGTCAGACAAAGATCTGGGCTATGTTGTTTCACTTACAGTTAGTACTTTCTCTTTGTCTCGTCATTGCGTTTAGTGCACGTCTGTAAGTAGTTACTGCTTACAACTCTTTGCATCAGTGGGTATATACAGTGGGTATAGAAAGTATTCAGACCCCCTTAAATTTTTCACTCTTTGTTATATTGCAGCCATATGCTAAAATCATTTAAGTTCATTTTTTTCCTCATTAATGTACACACAGCACCCCATATTGACAGAAAAACACAGAATTTTTGACTTTTTCAGTGTGGTAACTGCTTGACGGACCGGCCTGACAACAACACAGGGACACCCTCCTGTCACAGACATAAGTATGGGAGCGAAGGTCAGACATCCTCCCATTTCTTCCTCCAGCACTTCATGAATGAAATCCCTCCCTGCTGAGCGGTGAGTCCCGGATATCGTTTAGATTAAGTCTGCAGTCCTCCATGTATTCTCACTTGTGTTTGTTTTATAATTGATTTATTCATCCACTTTTCTTTCAATAATAAACTATTTAATGTGCAATTCCTGTGAGTTCCTGTGATGAAAGATTCATACTGTCGATTTTTAGTTTTCACCTACACTTTAAAAGTCTTCATCTGAAAGCACTGGTTTGGTTGGCGCAGTAAAAACAACATTTTCCTGTCTGGTTTTCTAATATAAAATATGAAGAATATTTAATTTGACTGATGAGGGTCATTATTATAAAGATAGTGTTTTTGTTTGTTTGGTAAGTACATGTTAAGTACATCTTGTCAGTCAGAATGAAATATCCTGATGTAGAGTACTTTGAAAAGTGCACTCATATGTCATCATAAACCACATTATTATGATTTACCATTTAGATTCATTCTGAAGATGTTAGATATTACCAGGCATCTGAGGAAAAGTACAACCGGGTCATGTACAAACAAATGTTTTCTTTTTCACAGATTTGACACCACATAAAAAAGAAGACAGTTAAAAAAAGGGGAAGTGGCAAATTTACTGAATCTCAAAACTCAAAACTGCTTTGTGTGGTCACACAGCTTTCTCCTTCCCATTTTTATTCAACCACCAAACCTACAACTGCTTTTAAGAGAAGCACATTAAATCACATTTTTGACCATCTTTCCCACATTTTCACACCGACTCATCTATCTGGGTGAAACAGACCAAAATGCCACTGAAGCAAAATGACATGTTAAACATGACGACCAACGTTTACCATCCAACCTGACAGCACTGGAGAGGATCTGCAAGGAGGAATGGCAGAGGATCCCCAAATGCAGGTGTGAAAAACTTGTTGCATCATTCCCAAAAAGACTCATGGCTGTATTAGCTCAAAAGGGTGCTTCTACTAAATACTGAGCAAAGGGTCTGAATACTTATGACCATGTGATATTTCAGTTTTTCTTTTTTAATAAATCTGCAAAAATGTCAAATTCTGTGTTTTTCTGTCAATATGGGGTGCTGTGTGTACATAATGAGGAAAAAAATGAACTTAAATGATTTTAGCATATGGCTGCAATATAACAAAGAGTGAAAAATTTAAGGGGGTCTGAACACTTTCCGTACCCACTGTATGTAAGTAATTAAACAATGGAAGGGAAGGATGAGGCTGATCGTGCCATAAGTGTGTGTCCATATGAGTGTGTGCGCCTGTCTGTGCAGTGGCAACGTCTGTTAGTGGTGTAAAGGCAGGCTTTTGTGTAATGGGGTGTGTAGATTGTCATCAGCACTAGACAATGCCTTCCTTCTGTGCACACACATATTTATCCTTATCATTACTTTATCACACAAAGGATCTAAACAAACACACATACGCACACACCATATTAGATATATCAATGCTTTCAGACGGAGATCTGCTCATATTTCTGGTATTTTAAGTGATCTATTGGAAATCTGTCAGCACTGCTTTTATGTCACACACATTCACACTGTGCACACACTGGTTTAATGCTGCTAGTACTGTTGCAATGTGACCTTGTAATCCTTGAAGCTAAGAAGAAGTAATTATGTTGATTAATTGCACGTGTTTCCTATTGATTTGTGCAGCAGCGTGCTTATTGTTTAGTGCGCAGCTGGTTCCAACAGCATGGCAGTAATGTAAATGTTAAGTATAACGCTTGAAAGAAGTGAGGCAGTGATCCATATTAACATGTGTAATGAGCAAGCAGGCCAAGACAAGTTTCCATACTGCGTTTGCATGAGCTGTGCGCATATGTGGAGAAATATGAACACATCAGTAAATACTGACTTTGACCCTTAAGGTCTGAGGCAACCTTAAATGCCAAGGCAAGGGCACACACACATGAACACAGTTGATTGTCCATATGCAGAGACACATAGATTTCTAACACCTGTGCTTGCTTCTGGCATTTCTGAAAGGCAAACGTTTGGCACCATTATTGACCCATTACAAAATTATGAATCCCTTCAGCAATGTGGACAGAAGTGCTGTGATTGGCCTACCAGATCAGGTCAGATTCAAGCTAATGTAGGCCAAAATGTTTAGGTACAACACTAAAGATTTAGATTTAAAGATTACAATCTTCATGTTTATCAGTCTTACAGGTGGTTGGTTAATGTTTGTGTGGTTAAGGGTCGGCGTACAACATAGGTGTGACCTCCAGCTTTGCCCAGAACTGCAGGCCTTATTCACACACATTCAAACACACACAAGCACACACAGTGTCAGCTTCTACCACCCCTCGCCAGCAGCTGTCCCTTATCAGTGCTGGGAGCCAGAGAGCACTGATGTGTCTATTTATTATTCCCCGTATGCTGTGTTATACCTAATAAGCTGAAGGGAGACTGAAATGTCAAGGCTCAAAAATGAAGCCATTCTCTTCATTGTAGTGCTTAGTCACAAGCTTCGCTGGCTCGCTCACTGTTTGGCATCATGTGCAGTGGAAATGACAGATGTCTCATAAAATGAGTAAATCCTGTAATATTTATATCTTCCTTATTAAATGATGGATTTATTATGATGTTACAATATAGAGCCCTGATTACGTTGTCATAAATGCTTATGTAATCCTGTAAAGCTCTTCTGATTGTGACAGTCCACTGGCTTTACATGTGGTTCATGTACTAAGATGTTGGTCGAATGTCTTAAAACATGAATAACTTACTGGCAAGAAGATGCAAATTTATGACTTCCAACAAGACAGATTTATAGTAAGATTCTCTGCTGGGACTGACTAGGACAGTTACCAGTAGGTGGTCTCGTTTAAGATTTACTATGGTGCAGCTTCAATATTTCTGTTCCTCTAGCGCCTCCCTGTGGAGAAACACGGCATCACAGCGTGAACCTCCACCTATGTCATCCTGCGCCAACTGGCAGATTTACTCAAGTCGGGGCTCTGGTGTTTGTATAGGACACAGGCGTCGTTAGGCCCCTTTTACTGGAGCACATCCCCCCAGTATGATCTGCTGTGCCCCACTAAAATCACAACAAGCTCCTATATTTGGCAGTGGATTAATTTGGATTGATAATAACGTAAAATTATTTGTTGTTCTAATGTCAAAGCAAAATACCAGGCCAGGCGCGAATGGGTCAAGGTTCATACACCACGGTGCGCGCATATGCACGTTGTGCACGTCGTAGCTGGTGCACTGCGGCGCACACACAGAAATCTATGTATTGCACACGAAACGAAAAGAATGGACTGAGGTATGTGACAGGGACATACACCTATAGTTCTGAAACCGAATAAAGTTACTGTCACAAAGGTAACTTCTTTTGGCATCATCCCTGTACTTTACCCAATGAAAGGCTGTATGTGAGGAGTTGGGAGGACGGATTGACAGAAAATTAATTAAGCTACTTTGCTGAGTAATTACTTCGTTTTGTCAGCATAATTAGTTGGTGCCCTATAACAGACGACGAGCTTAAGCTCAAACATTTGAGAGGAGTAGAAACATGACTATGTGCTTATACCGCCCTCTAGTGCATTTAAATAGAACATCACGAGAAACTATCATCAGCCAAACTACTAAGGTAATATTTATACAGGCCTGGCTGATTTTATTTAGAACAAACCTACAATCTGGCCCCCGGAAAATCTATTTTCATAATTTGTTGAAGCCTCTGCACATAAGTTTTATCCAATCAAACACAAGAAAGAAAACTGTTTATTTAAATGCACCTTTAGTGAACGCATAATCTGCTTTTTTATAAATTTTATTTCACAAACTACAGATAGAGAATAATGAAAATATAACAGAACAGCACAGAGCCAGGGGTGAAAACAATATCAGAATTAACTATATCTGTGTGGTGAAAAACTGTGCTTGTGAATCGTGGACCAGGCTACCAAACAGTGCTTATGAAAGCTTAACATGAATTTTGTCTATACTAAAGTTGCACAATAAATGTGTATTTGCTGCTTTGTGACATGTGGCCTATAGAGTTGGAATCATTTGAGATTTGACTCAAACTAATTACATTTTTTGCTTTTTCTTCTCAGGTAGATCGACGAAGTGTAAGTCAATTATTTTTACAGATGCAAAATTACAAACACTGTGTCCTTGTCCAAATACTTAGGGACCTGACTGTATGAGGTCTCTTTCAACAAGTGCAGTTTTACACAAAATCAGTTAAAAGTATGCAGAGGACGGCTCAGCACAAAGAGATCACTAAAATAGAGACTATGATCTACAGCTGACGATGTTCACTTTAAAGCTAACAGTAGTTATAGTTTCAGAACAGGGTTATTTTATGTTTTCTTGCCTCAAGATTCTAATGTGCTTCATTTAAAAGATCATTGACTGTGATGTGTGTGCTCTATCGTACAGTCTTTCCAAAGAGGTTCCTGGTCCTCTTCACACTGACAGTAAGTACACTCTGTGAAATCAATTTAGGCTTACATAAATGGTTTGTGAAGGAAATGAGCACTGCTTCATGGACATTAGTGATGCATTATTGCAGTGGGCACTGTAGGGACCATGGCCTTCAAATAACCTTGAACTGGAAGCTGTGATGAGACATTTTAGATATTTGTATCCCCCTGCCACCTGCTATAATGTATAAAACAGCATTATAGATGATTCTCTGGGTAACATGGCTAGAGGCCAGTCTCATCAGACAGGATGAGAGTAGTGTGTTTTTTGTTTTTTTTTTAAAGATGCTGAGCTCTTCATGCCATGTAGTTCTACCCCACTAAGTAGAATCTGGACAAAATGTTTTAGCTCCATAATTAAATCTATTAGATTGTATGACAAAGAAAGGAATATATAGAAAAGAGAGCCGTGTAAGTATGGAGCTGAAGTAATCCATACTCATTACCAGGCTTTTATAATATATATTTTATAATATACTGTATATTTTTTTTAAACATGAGAAGGAGCTGTTCCACTGGCTCACAAATGCCAGTTTTACCAGCCAAAGCCACAAAAATAAAAGGTTTTATGATGGCAAAATAATTCTGCAGAGAATCAGTTTCAACATATGGTCAATTTTATAAAACAAAGTGCAAGGAAAATAAAAAAATATGCTAAGAGAAATGTACCATATTTCCCAACATGAACCAATAAACCCATGAATGAATCCATTACACACACACACACACACATCTCAGGGTGAAAATATAGAAAAACAAATATGTTGTACTACATTATGCCTGTCGATGAGGCGAAGAACAGTTATGATAGTTGTCTTTGTTGCAACTTATGTTTGCAACGGTGTTTAATACCCATTCATAAACACTGAATGGATTTAAGTGAGAAAGGAAAGCAACTAGTGACTAAATACAATCAGACACACCATTTTCTCAGGTTTCTTTATTTGGATAAGCCTGATTGTTATTTTTGTTGTTTTTTTTTTTCAAGAAAAAGATAAGTTGTCAATTCCTAAATTTATATACAAAACATCTTCAACATTAAATTGGTTATTTCTAGATAGAGAGAAAAACAGCATTAGCATCCAGTATGTTACACAAACCCCCTTTAAAGGAAGTGTAATTTTGCATCAGTATGTAATTTGTACTTTGCATGTGATTGAATATGAGTCTTTCCATTACCAAAACATTTCAACTGTCCAGTTGAGTGCAGGTGTACATGTATATAAATATAGTGCCAACCTCAGAACCTCAAAGGTACATCTACACCAGTACCCTGGTACCTCTATACACTGGAATGTCTAAAATGTGTTAGGCTACAGATTTTCATTTCCTATCATTTCATCATATTGTAGATAGCACTGTAAGAGTTAGAGGAGTGAGACAGTAAATAACATTGTTCTCTAATTAGGCACAAATAGTCCTTGCACATGTGGGTGAATGCCAAAAAAAAAAAATCTTAGGGGCTACAGAAATGGGAATTGAGATTCCTATGAAGGCACACGCTGCTGTACCTTGTTTTAACTCTCTCTGCCCTGAGTAATGCCACCATTGCAAACTTACATTCCTCCCCAAAATCTGACCTGCTCTAGCTCTGTTCTGCTCCTCTTTGCCAGGCTGCAATCAGAGCGACAGTTCAGAGGAAGATGATGAGGTTGATTAAAAAAAAAAAAACCCACTTGAAATTAAGTTTAAAATTTCTTCAGAAATCTTTAAAATCTCTCTCGGTGCCCTGTACTTCTTTTTTTTGACTTGTTCTCCTGTTACTTGTATCTAACAAACTGTTCAAACTGAGAATAAGCAGCCTGCTGCAGGGATGTGCAAACAGAAATAAATGAACAAGGAAGACTATGCTTGCATTTACCTGTGAGTTTAAAATGATCACCAGTCAGTTAAAAACATTGTCCAGCTTTCCATTTGTCCTGTTGTCTTAAAGCAGTTGGAGTGATCCAGTGGGGCTGTAGTGAAGACAATTAGTTTTTTTTTTGCCTGATTCAGAAGCACTTGGTCAAGGAGGGCAGATAAGACGTAAAGCTGATCCTAGATCAGTGCTGATAAATGTCTGGGAAACATATGATGAGCATTTTAAGCATTTGATCTGCTATCCTTTTCACACAAAACAAAGCTGATTCCAGATCTACCCCATTGTTGTCTTGCAGCAGCGCCGAGATTCATAGGTTTTGTGGATTATCTGAGGAAGACTGAGTGCACCCCCATGATTGGAAAAGTCACAGACTATCGTTGCGGGCATGGCAGCTGTCACACACTCTGACTGGGTGGTCCCAGCCTCGGGAGGGCACAGGCTTGATGTGTGTGGAGCAAGGGCCGCACACGCCCTGTCCACAGGCTCTGCAGTGGTGCTTGGACATGGCTGGAGTAAAGGTTTTAGAACACTGGTGGCACTGGGTGATGTCGTGGTCTGGCACCCAGTAGTCTGGTCGAGCCACATCCTTCACAAAACCTGAGCAGAGGGGACAGAACAGTAACAAATTCAGTTCAGTAGGGAATATTGTTTTGCTTAGACTGTAAATCACTACAGGATCCCAAGCACCATTAATGTTTATGGAGTGGATTTCAAAACAGCCATTAACTACATCAGATATTTATGCAGTGTATTCCCAGTTTATCATGGTTCAGTATGTCCACCTTATTTGCCAGAATGTAGAGTCAACCTTTAATTATTATCAGCAGAAATCAGAGTTTTGTTGTAATTTCAGTAGTCATTGTTATGTTCGGTCCTAAGCTTTAAGAAGCAAGTGTAGTTGGTAGGATTCGTCTCCCCACAGTGTTGCAATTTACTTCCACTTGAAATGATCTAACTTTTCACAGCTTTGTTCTGTAAAACTGGTAAGTAGTAGGGTGCAACAGATCAGAAAGCTCAGTTTGGTTGTGATCACAAATTCAGAGTCTGGGATTGGACCAATTTTTGGATTAGAACAAAAAATGTCCAAAATTACAATAAAATCTTAAAATATTCAGAGCACTTGGTTGTTAAGTTAACTAAAAATGCACTGACTGCATTTTCTTGGCTGCTTCCACTTATTTATTTTTCATGTATCAACTATGATCTGTTACACCACTAGTAATCAGAATCATGCTCAACAAAACACGACTGGTCAAAAAGCCATTTGACCCAGAGAAAATGTACAGCAAGCTGCAACGCACTGACAGAAAACGTGATGGTAAAATGCAGCTGCACTCACAGAGAGGGTAGTCCACAGCTGTGGTGACCATGGCCAGAGTGGACTGAGCCACCTCCGTCACCCTGCGTGCTATTAGACCATGAGGCTCCACCTTACACACTGAAGAAGAGAGATGTGCGAGACATATGAAACAACACTATTTACACGGTATTACAGGTACAATTAGAATTTAAACCCAGAAAATGAGTGTCAGCATTCTGCATCCCTTAAAAAACAACTGGTTTTTTAACCTGCTGTATTTCTCTTATAAGTGGGTATGGGGAGTCTATAACTAGTGCTAATTTTGCTGTCACTACCTCCATTGTAGTGAATCATGGAAACAAAGTCACACTAAATGGTATTATTGGGGAAAGCAAATACAAAACCTGGGGTGCTGTCTGGGAGTTCATTTCTTAAACTATAAAGTCTCAGAGAAAAACAAGCTGGGAAATTTGTTTACAGAGTGTGTCGCATAATAATTTACCCTGTCCTGTAAAGAAATGGGTTACACTGTTCACAGGTAAAACTTAAAAAAACAAGCAAATAACATTATGGCAAAATAACTATACACCACTGAAGGTCACATCTACATCCTTAGATGACATTACACAAGTCATGCTCTATATAGCCTTGTAATTCATGGATCACTTCATGTAAGCTTATCTCAAAGTTAGTGGCTTCATGACAAACACATCTGCCCAAAAGTGTTAATGTTTTACACTCTCTGCCTGGTTGTGGTCCCCTAATTGGGTGCGTGTGTCTTACCCTGGCTATTAGTGTCAGCTGGCCCTCCCTGGCGGTAACAGGCCTTACACACCCTGACCGGACCACTGCCCCAGCCCCTCTCTGGTACCGGCATCCTATGCCTGGAGCAGGGATGACAGAAACCCTCGCCACAAGATCGGCAGTGATGTTTCCTCTCTGCCTCATCGAACAACTTCTGACATCCATGACAGGCCTGGGCAGAGCACAGTGATAAAACATTATTATTCAAGGACAGAGTGAATAAACTATTCAGGAACATACATTTCATAATGGTTTCCTCTGCCGTTTCTACTCACGGTGATCTCTGTGTTGGGTCTCCAGTAGGGTGGTGCCACCTGGTCAGTGAGCCAGGCAGTGACAGCTTTGGTGGGGCCGGTGCTGTACTCTGACACGGACTGGATCACATAGTTCATCCCATCCAGGACCCTCTGAGCAGCATTCTGGTGGGTGGTCAGGAAAGTGTCTGACTGAAAGGGATGAAAAAACAGTGCAGAGGACAGAAGGGCAGACACATGGGGTTTTTATAGTCAACAGGTAAAGTAAGAGAGAGGAAAGGGGGAAGAGAGAAATGGAACAAAGACAGTATGTGGTTAAAAAAAAAGGTCAGTCAATATCTGCTGATGAATAATCCATACTGCAGCAATCTTTTCTTTTTGATATACCTTGGATTTTTGTGAAAGGTTCACCAAAATGTACAAGATCAGTTTCACATTTAATGGAAAATGTTACACATGTTGCACATCAAACCTTGCCAGTTGAGTGCACTGTATAATGCATATAATGACCCAGGAAGCACTATGACTGTGATACTAAATAGTCTCAACTTCTATATTGTTACTATGTGGAAAACATGAAAGGTATCAGGACATACTATGCCTTTGAAGGCCTGCAAAGGCATTTCTCTGGTCATCCAACAGAGGCCTAAAAATAATGTCAGTACTAGGGACTAAAAATTAGTAACATGTTATAAACAATGCTTATTTTTTACATCTGTAGTATAATTTTAAGCATTTGTAAATTATACATTTTCAAATCAAAACCTGAATGTTTCTCTAAAGGTTCTGCTCACCCCTTCCCAGACATGTTTGACCTCAGATCGCACCACGCCGCTCTCAGGGTCCTGGTTTCCCATCCAGTACTGTCTGCTGCGGTAGATTACACCACAGCTAGAACACTCCAACACATAACTGAAGGGGAAAGGGAGGAGAGCACAGCATAAGGCAGTATGAGATGACTCAATGAAAGGCAGTGAAAGGTGTGTGCGTGGATTTACCTACCCCGACCAGGCATACTTGGCCAGCCCAAACCATGGGCTGTCAGAGGAAGATGACGTCTTGGGCACAACAATCACCTCTCTGCCTCCTTCATAGCACCTCTGGAGGCACAACACATGGGAAATAATACAGACAATTTTAAAAATGTATAGTGTTTTATTATTTTGTAAGCTAAAATGTAAAGAATATTTAGAAAAAGGCCAAAGAATACATTAAAACATTTTGAACTGTGACAATAATGGTTTTATGCACCAGTCTTACCTTACAGATGAGGACCTTGTTGTTGTACTGGTGTGCATACTGACAGAGTCCATCTGCCATGTGAGGGACCCTGTCTCTCAAATGGTTCATTCCATTTTTGCAGCGAATGCTGGGGGAGAAACCGAAAACCAACATGACAGAAGTTGAACTTGGCATCAAGGGCACGTTTTGTTCTATGTAAACAGTCCATCAATCCAAGACTGTGTCCTTTCAGAACCAGTGTTGTTGATTCTCCCACTCTCTCCTCTCTCAGCTTTCCATAAAGAACTACAAATAGTCAGGGACTTCCATTTCTTCTTTCATGAAACATGGATAAGATATCAGGTTTTGTGTGTCCCACTGGGGAGATAGATAACATCCACAGGACCAACAGCGGATTTCTGCTTTGAAAGAATACATTTCAATTCGGTGACTCCAAGACACAATCAAGTATCTTCTGTTTGTGTCTGTTTGTTTCCATTTGGCAATAGAAGCCTTTAACTGCTGTATGAAGATTCAGGAGAACAAAAATGTTCCCTAACTCACGTACTTTGTTTTGTTACAGTTAGTCAAATGTTTGAGAAACTGTGAAACACCGTCTATGGACAGACTGGTGTGAGGTGGGGGATCACTCATAAAACATCCAACACTGACAAGTGGTGAAAAGTTTAATTTTGTGCAAGTAGAGAAGAGGGTATGAATGTTTTTTTTTTTTTTTTAACTAAGATGTTAAGTCAAACTCTCCATGTGTAAGCCCATCTAAAAATGGCAGGCCCGATTCATCTAGAAAAGAAAAACAAAACAAAAAAAAAGAGCCCAAGTATATGCTCCAGAATGTTTGTTAACCACTTACTTGCAGCTGAGGCAGACAGCAGAGCAGGTGAAGTACTCGTCAGGGAAGAAGGAGTATGGGGTCGTCTTATCGTCGGACAGTTCCCCGCAGAAACGCTCACTCAGAGCCTGAGGACAGAACAAGGAAGGGGTCAATTTGACACTCAAACAACAAGCAAAATCCTCTTAATTAGTGTTAAATTTCTCAACTTGATGTCTATTTAACACCAAAGGTAATAGTCCACCACTTACTTCCAAAGCCTGAAACACTATCCCCGGCTGGCGGGGGGAGCGCGTGTGTGTGTTTTTCACTTGCTGTGTAACAGCCTCCACCAACTTGCTGTAGTCAGTAGGAGGTATGATGGTCTGGGTGCCTACATACTGCACCGAGCTGAAGGCCTCTGTCCCCAAACTGAGATCGTGAAAACGCTTCTGGAGAAGCGTGTCAGGATGCTCGGCCATCTTTGAGTCTACAAGGAAAGACAAAAGACAAAGAGATTTTAGTTGGACAGCAGGAACCACATGAGATTACCACATAAAAATACATGTAAAGAATGACTATAAAACAGAGGTGTGTTTTACTGATCACACACAGTATGCCACCTAGTATATTTACCTCCTCTACCATGACCCAGCAATTGAGTGTGCGTTGTCTCCTGGAAGACAATGACGGCAGGCCCAAGAGAAGAGAGGGGTACATCCAGACCACATCGGCTCGAAAGAGCCCTGAGCTCGGGGGTGAAGTGCTTCAGGTAGGCTGCAGAGGCACTGCTCAGGAAGTGGAACATGTCATTGTGGAGGCGTTCAGCTCGTGTACGATAAATTACTATATCTGACACTGCCAATACCTGGAAGAGAGGTGAACATGTACACTGATCAGGCATAACATTATGACCCCCTGCTTAATACTGTTTATATAGGAGTCAGTGTGGTAGTTGGTTGGCACTTGTGTCACTCTACAGCTCACTGTGCATCTTCTGTGAATCCATTTGCTTCCATAGTTCTACTGTCAGGAAGAGCACAGATGTGTCTACGATTCAGTGAAAAACGTATGTAAAAGGAGTGAAAACTGTGGTCATGAGGACAAGTTAGAGAGAATTGTTTTAGACATATTCAACAGCCTCCCCACTCGAGGTGTGATATCACCACTACAGCCCCTGACTCTTTCTCTTCATAGAGACCAATGGACAGTATTTCTCATTTTCAACCATTTTAACAAAGATTCAAATAAATTTTAATCTTTTGAGAAGTACAAATGGAAGTTAAAAGATGAATCTATGGTAGATCAACCACATCATCAGTGAGCCGTGGACGGCCATGACCCTGTCGCCAGTTCACCATTTGTCCTTCCTTAGACACTGTTGGTAGGTACTAACCACTGCAGACCAAGAACAACAACAAGACCTGCAGTGTGGGAGATGCTCTGACTCAGTCATCTCACCATCACAGTTTGGCCCTTGTCAAAGTCACTCAGATCCTTACACTTGCCCATTTTTCCTGCTTCCAAAACATCAACTTTGAAGACTGAATGTTCACTTGCTGCCTAATATACCCCACACACTGACAGGTGCCACTGTAACAAGATAATCAGTGTTATTCACTTCACCTCTCAGTGGACATAATGTTATGCCTGATCAGTGTATATACACTGTAGAGATAAGACATACATTATAACACATATATGGCTTTTGTCAAACTGAGAAATGGCACATAGATACAAGTGTGCAAGACTTTGCTGACAGATTAGGCCATGTGCTCATGAGGAAAGGCAGGCGAGGAAGTTCACATTTCACATCTTAAAATTATTCTGAACACAAAATATCTTAAATTACTGTAGAATGTTGGAGCACTATAACATACACTGGATTGTTAAGCAATGTGAAGACAATGTTTAAAAGAATACACAGTAGCTGGTAAACAGGAACATTCACATCACACTTTCCCCCAGCCAACCAGTTTAATACTTAATGTGTCCATAGGATTATCTTGAAACCAGCTGTCCCAAAAACAAACACTCCTCTGCTGTGTGCTGATACTGCCAGTGTCATATGGCCCTGAAGCAACAATGAGCTGTGGCAGAAAAACTGGGACTCTGGAGATGCTATAATGCAATTTAGAACCTAATAGGAAATCTGTGAGGCCTATCAAAGATTACTAGCTACCTATCAAAGAGTCTGAAGACAAACTCAAAGCCAAATTTTATCAGCACTCCTTTTTCTCACCCTAACTTCAGGAACTGAAATGCAGTTGTCTATACATTTTGTGGTGTGCACACAAAGTCCAATAAAATTAACCAGTGGCCACTAAAACCTTACCTTTAGCAACAGCCTCATTCTCTGATTATGATTGGCTGCGGCTCCCAAAAGGCCCTCAGTATCCAGCGCAACCAGACTGAGGGAGGGGTTGTAGGCTGCCCACACTCCAATGGTACAGGAGCTGGGGGACTTGGAGGTGTAAAACACGCTCTCACCACCAAATAGGATGTGGTTTAGGGTGTGGGACTTGCCATCGCCAGTGTTGCCAAAGATGGAGAGAACCTTGACACCTGCCACATCCCCACAGGCGAGTCTGTCCACAAACTTTGACTCATCAGGGACCTGGAAGGAGAACAAGTGGAGAGCCAGTTATGTACTGAGGATGGACTGTTAAGCCAACTTAGTATGATATCACTGGCTCACCTGCTAAGTTCACTGACTTAAGGGAAACCTTTATTGATTTTGTGTCAGCAGTACAGTCTTGGCCGACAAGGGGCCTTAACATACAGTAACATATTTGAGACAATTTACACTCAGCGCGGATAAAAAAAAAACATTTGGATTAAAGGCTGTATTCAATATGTTGCTAAGTCACTCGAACCCAAGCTATTTGAATGAGAAACAAATAATCATCGACTGCACGTTGTACAGTACAGCTGTGGCAACAATACAATACGATACAGCCTCCCTGTACGTCAGCTGTTTTGCATGACTCACCGAGGACTTTCCCCATAACAAACCTATTTACTGCTCTGCCTCCCTGCGTTGTGGTTTATGCCTTTAGTTTCTTCAGGGAATCATGAGCCCATGTTAGCGAAAACATATCTAGGCATTATGGACCTAACGGGTATCGCTATTTGATGTTAAGTTTCATTATTATATAGCGAAAATCGGAGAGAAAATAAAGTAAGCTAAAGAATATCTTCACTTTTAGCTCAGTGTTTTGAACGTTACTTGAGCTCATGTATCAACATGTATGTATCAACACCTAAATGTTAGCATCACTTACAGCAGATTTATTGAAATGTTTACGGTCTTCCTCGTAGCCTAGCATCCAACTAATTGTTAGCAACCCTTAGCATTAGCTGACGTTAGCTAGCGTAACTTTACCTGCAGGTTTTCTTGCTCATCCACCAGAAGGAAGCTCCGAGCACCGTCTTGGCGTTCCTCTGGCTTCAATAAACAGCTCGATACGCTCTCCATTTCTTTCATCAGTATTTCGGACATCATTCACTAACTATTTAAAACATATTTGTGACAGCGAAATGCATAACGAAAGCTCAACATGACTCCTATCCGTCTGTCAATCACAACAACAGCGCGTGTACTGACGCTGCAGGAGGAGCGAAGAGCACGAAGGCAGTGACGTAAGACGTATTACATGCACGTTTGGTCGACGTCTTGGCTGATATATTAGCACCACCGCGTGGTCAGATGGAGTATAACACACAACCTGTCCAGCAAACTTTGGAGATATTGCAATAAGAAATCATATAATTTGATGAGATATTGGCCTCACAGACTGATAAATTTTCGGTATAGCATGCAGTAGATTTTTAAAGTTTAAACAAATTGAGCATTCTCAACAAAAAGCAAGTCCTTATGTTTGTTCAACTAAGTAGCTGAAATGTATTCATATAATAAAACAGCAGCTAGGCTAATTCATAATCACAGCAATACACATGGAATGAACGCTTACTTTTAAGTGCCAGGGAATGTTTTATTGAAGCAATGATGCCATGCTAGAGCAGCTTGCTAATGTTCATTAAATATTTGTTAGCACAGATCTATAAATATCACATGTCACTGAATGGCTTCAGAGCGGCGCCACTGCTACTTACATGACATAGAGAAAGAAATTCCAGCATTGGTGCTCTAAGAGTCCTGGCCAAGCTTCTGCCTTACCTTCTTCCCTCCCACATGGATAAGAGATTAAATTAATGTTGAAGACAGTTCAGACAAATTCTTATAGTTGAAATAAGGCTTGGTCTAACACAAACATGTGTTTGTAAAATAATAGACCATCTGAGGGGGGTTCAATAAAAGATAGGCAAGCAGAGAAAGAAAGCAGATGGGAAGAAATTAAGGAAGGAATGCATCAAGGATGGAGCAGTATGGGGTTTGGAGAGGGTCCCAGCCTTTCTCTGGGCTCAACCATGGGAGACAAATGTCTCAAAGAATCAATTAAAGGCCTACTCCCAACCCATAGTCCCTGATTAATGAATAATTAAAGCTGCCTATGTGCCGGGTTATTTGGTATAGATAATATAAGATTAACCATCAACATGCAACCAATAATGTAAGACTATGCCTCTTAATTTCACTTGTTTTTATGGGGTAATAGATTATGGTTTTCAAACTTTTTTGTTGAAGACTATAATTGACTATAATTATAGGCCTACGTTTTAGGGAAATTAAGTAATGGTTTTCTGAAAATATAATTGTTGCATGCTTATTGATAAATTGTTCTTCAGACTTTAAAAATGCATGTGATATCTAGCCTGCAGTAAATGTATACTCAGTTCCACCTGCTGGTTCTATGCGCACTCACAAAAAATTAATTATTCAAATGATATTATTTTTTCTTTAAAATCAACTCATCATCAGTCTTAATTATGAAATGTATCAATCAAGTTCCCACTTCTAGAATCTCGTGCAATTTGGCGACATGCCATCATTATTCCACCGTTATGCGAGAAACAGGCATCCTCACACTGACAGACAGTCCTGCAACGCAACCTTGACATAACTGTAGACATTTTTTTTTTTCAAAAAGACTATAAATTTGGATCTGGGGGGGATGGCTTTGCCCTTACAAGTCCAAGGCGGGACTGTGGTCCACTTGAACCGCTATCCCCGCTGGTACTTGTAGTGCTGTCCTCCTCGGCATGTTTCATGTTGACATGCGTAAAAAACTACACTTCCCCAAAGCGTGATAGAGCGCTCCCGCGTCCCATTGGCTGCTCGCTCCAGCCGCAGCCCCAGAGAATGAATGAAATTGAAATAGCTGCTACATTACATGTACAATACCGGGCGCTGCAGTGTTGCATTTTTTCATACTATATCAAAATGGCCACAGCGGTACAGAACCCCCTCAAATCGTAAGTACAACACATTTTTCTGAGCGTTTGCTCTTTTTGTATTTGTGCATGCTGTCAGTGCAATTTAAGATCCTTAAATTCCCAGATATTTCTCAGCATGATTATCAACACATCTATACATGCACTGCATACAAAAGATAATATCAGGGGATGCGAATCACCCCTAAAGAAAAGTTAGATTTAAAGCTGACAGGGGTTTCTTTTTTGGCACGAGATGGTTATTGTGCGCTCTGATGCGATTCATATAATCGTTTCCCTGAGCCAACAGCAGCGTGTGTGCAGGGATATGGAGGAATGCTGGAGGTAGATTTGGGTGACCCGGTATGTCCCTTGCCAGTGTAGTCAGCCAAAGCCAGGCTAGAGTGTTAGGCTGGGTGGGGGCTTAGACTGCTTTACAGGATTTGGGCGTTGACTGCGTTTCCTGATTTGGGTTGACTTTTTTTTTTTTTTGTTTGGACAGAGAGGCTGTAAACAGGTAGGCAGAATGAAGCTCTGCTCGGGTTTTTGGCTGCAGCGCTACCTTTACAGCCGGACCTCTCGAAATGATATAGGCTGAGGTAAATACGCTGGTGCACGACTTTAACTCCGAACCTTGCTATTATCCTAAGCGCCTATAATAAAGCAATAAAACCTAAATTGCGATCCGGCGTTGAACACTTAACGCTCAAATTCTCGTACATTTATTAGCCCAGATTTATCTCCACCGAGTGGTCTTTCAACGGACAAATCTCCCGTGAAGTTTTTCTTGTGATGATCCCCTTTGTGCAATTTTAAAAAAACAAAAACAACTCGCTCTCTCTTGGTTTTCTGAGACTGTTTCAGCGGAATGCAGACGCCTACTGTCCGCCTGGGCTACTGGCCAAAAAGGTGGCTGATGTGTGTCTGTCAGCGGGTACTTACAAATATCTAGCAAAAAAAAAAATCTTCCAATACAAACATACAGGAGAGGAGTGTTTGAGCACACAAAAGATCCGGCGTAGTCGTTTTGAAACAAAGAAAAGTCACAAGCCCTGTGTGCAAAGCAGGGGCGCACATCGGATGCTGCACAGGTTTTACCTGAGCAGGGATATGGGATACAGACCGCCTGTCTGTCTGTCTGTCAGCCTCTGAGATGCAGACACAGGCGACATTTCATGCAATTCCATGAACGACTGCCCTATACGTGCTTTGAAGAGCACTTCACAGGAGAGAGGTTTGCAATGTACTGACTGAGCAGCTGTCTGATGCCCTGATTGACTGTGTCGGTATTCAAATGAATTTTACTCACCCACCTCAATAATAGTAAAATAAGGAGTAAGATGAATAATTCTAAGGTTTAATTAAGCCTAAGCTCTAATAAGCTGGTATTTAGCAATGTTATGATGATGGGACAGGAATAGATAGGCGGACTGGTGGGAGGCTGTGATGTGGGACCTTTGAGTCCAGAGCATCAGCTCATTTCCTCTGCTCTTATTTTTCCTCTCCTCTCTTTACTCATCCAAGCAAAGCCAAAGTGTGGCCAGACTGCTCCCAGAGTGTGCCAGTAACACTGTGTCAGGGGATTAAAATGACTGATTTGCATGGAATATATACCAGGACAGAGAGAGTGAAAAAGGTTGTGGTAGAGAACACAATGAGGGAAGGAGTTAACGAAGTAGAAAGTAAAAGGAGGCTCAGGGCCAGTGACTAATGAACTAGTGCCCAGTTTCTGTAGTTGTGGTCTTACATTGATTTTTAAGTGCTTAGAAAGTTAGACAAAAGAAAAAAAGAAGACAGCGCAGCCAAGTTGTCAGCCAGATTTAATCCTGCAGAGATGCTGGCACACCGTTTCACTACAGTATTTGACTACATGCACAGTTACAAGCTGAATGTGTTTATTATACAAGCACACAGCAATCAACACCGCCTTTAACATCTCACCAAACACCATCGTCATGCGCTACGGGTTTAACTATGTTCCAGTTACCACACTGCTATCAGTTTTTAAACAAGCCCTGGTAATTAGCAGGTCTACAAACAAACTTGCTATTAGAGGCTTACAAATTAGAGGCCAATCCAGTAAAATGGGTCTAAACAACTAAATTTGGTTCAGTGTCAACCCTAATAGTGTGGCTGGCTGTGTGCCGGAGACAATGCCTGTTGTGTCCGTAACTGTTGTGAAACCTTGTTGAATCTCAGCAATAAATGAGAATTAATAGTGGATGTAAATTTTGTGGGAAGCAGTTGCAGCTGTTGCCCGTTGCCCAGCCATGATGTGGGACTTGCAGTGTGATAGCCAGATTATGTGCATGTGTGTGGTAGTGGAGGGTTCAGTTGTGTGCTAAGGCAAATCAGTGGAGGAGCGAGCAGCTAGCTCCCATCTACTGGGCATTTCCCCACCAGCCCTCTCTCTGTTTGTGTCTCTGCTGGATCAGAGACTCATTTAATCTCACTTTCTCCTTGCTTCCCTCTCCATCTCTCCCCTTCTTATTTCCTCTCTGTCTTCCTATCAACCCCTCTGCCCTGTCTTCCACATCCCCTCCCTCTTTCTTCATCACTTTCTTCATCCATCACTCATTTCGCCATTTCCCTTTTGTTCAGCCATTTCCTCTCTGCCTCACTCCTTCTTTCCCCATTTTTATTCTTTTCGGCCTCCAACCATCTGAGCCCTCCAAGTTTGCTTGTCCCCCCACCACACATCTTTAGATTGTGAATTAAGGTGTGTTACTACCTTAATCTTCAGCCAAAAGTAGTGACAGAAATTCTCTATGCATTTTGATAGATTCCCTTAAATCTTTTTGGATAGCTTATTCCTTAGAGTTCCTTTAGAGGGACTTACTGTGCTGTATACAGCTTATCTACTGACATAAAGAGTTTATGGTTCTCTGTTCATAGCAAACTATATAGTCTCTCCATTTGGGGCATCACAGAATGTTATGGTGGTTACAAAGAAGCTATGACGATCCTACCTCTGTGTGGCTGCATTCATTCCTGATGTTTCCTGGTAATGAAACAGATGATTAAAGGCTTAAAAATGAAAATATTTTAGGAACAAAGTGCAATTAAATTAACAGTAGGAATTTGACATCACAGCAATCATTTTCAAGGCATAGGTGGCAAAGTTTGTCAAAAAAAAAAACAGCTGATGTGGTGTAAATTTCAGTGTTATTACTTCTTTGTGTTGGTTAGAAGGGGAGATGTAGATAATCGCATGCTGTGGTATTGGCAGCAGTGGTGGCAGGGCCTATATAATATCATTTCTGCCCTGCCTGACTGAGCCTAGCTAAATGAGTTCTATGTAATAACCGGCTCTGTTTGCAAACAGCCTTGTGTGATGGCTGAAACCACAGCCTGAGCATCCATTTCTAGATCTTTCCTTCTCTTTCAATCTCTCCTTTTCATTCCCTCACTTGCTTATTTGTGCAGTATCACCCGTACACATCAAGACACAAACACACACACACACAATGGGCAACACACAGTTGCACTCCATTTCCCTTTCTTGCTCTCAGTTTTTTCTTTATTCATATGGGAGTAAGCCTGAGGTCTGATGTTTTTAACCATATTTCTTTTTCCAAGTTATTCCTTTCATCATCTGCTTATTTAGATGTTTTTTAATCTGTTTTACTTTTTTAAGAAGACAGGATAGAGAGACAGAGAAAGAGAGAGACATAGATAAGTATTTTTAGCTCTGTGACCTATTTCTCCAGTGCTACCTAACTGACTGTCAGTCAGCTTCACTTTGCTTTGGGACCTTGTGTGATTTATAAGCAGGACATTTGGAATTTGTAGTTCTGTGGGGGTTGTAACTTGTAGTCCAACTGGGAAAGGTGTGGCAGGAGAAGCAACAAATGAATGAACCCAAACCTCTCCTCTCCTCAGCATTATTTCTCCTCTCACATCATTCCCCATTTATATGTTCCTAGAGTCCGTGTGTGTCCAGTGGATACCCATTAGGAGTTGCCAAGGGTGGAGTCAACACAAACAAATGGTTGATTCCCTCTATGTATCTTTAATAAGGATGCAGACACATAAACACATAAACACGAATTCACATCTCCACGCTGAGATACAGAGGTAGGAATCCATAATAAGAGGCCAAGTGCAGTGGTGATAAATCTCACCTGAAGGAGCTGTTCAGAGGCAGATTGCCTTACCCTGATGTACTGCCCTCAGTACACACTGCAGCTAGCTGCAGGTTATATACAACCAGACTGATAAAGTGTACAAATACTCAGCATGCATAAATATGCACAACTGTAAGCATGCACGCATATGTTGACTCAAACACATATAAACTCACAAACAAGAAATGAGCACAGAGATGGCCATGATTCACAGTTTTATAGTGATTCCAAGATAACCACACCCAGTGGACAACAAGGGAGAGCAACACAGGAAATGACACAATTCTTCATTAAAATCACACATAGTAGGTGCTGACAGAAATGACATGATCTGTTGCATATAGTAACTCCTATTTACCTCTGCCTTTTTCTGTCAGATCTCTTGTTACGTTCAAATATGCAAACAGTCGGTTAAACACACACAAATATACACAGATGCGCAGAAGCAGTGCTGTGACAGTATTTCAAGCAAGCTGACGTTTTCCAGCTGGTAATGTGGCAGACGTCCTGCGCAGACACTGCCACACACATTCACAGGCATGCTTCTCTGTCCATCTGTCTGTCTGTCACTGTCAGACAGAATGTGTGGCCTCTGTGTTTTTCTGACTGACATGCGCTCTGTCACTACACACTCACAAACACAAAGGTATGTTTGTACCTGCTATCATTAGCTCGCACAGGAGCTGGACTGCAGTGCTGTGTCTTCAGATGTGCATAACTTATAAGGTTTCCCCCTTGTTATTTTGGAGCTATGTTTGCTAGACAGCATCTCTTTGATGTGTGTACAGTATATGTGCGTGTGTGTGCAGCATCCCCCAATTATTTCAGTACTCCAGATTATATACATAGGAGATATGTATATATATATATATATACAGTATATACTGTATATATATATATATATACAGTATATAC